CAGCTAATTTTTGTATTTTTAGTAGAGACGGGGTTTCTTCATGTTGGCCAGGCTGGTCTCAAACTCCTGACCTCGTGCTGGGATTACAGGCATGAGCCACCATGCCTGGCAAATTATGTTTCAAGTACTATGATATACCTGTTCTTAGATTCTAGTCTCATCAGCTGTTTTTAAGTTTTTCTCTGCAATTTAGACTAACCCTCATTCCTGTGAACCAGCTAGTGATCTCTGGCTGCAGCTCAGAAGAAACAAAAGGGATGGGTAACGTACAAATCTGGATGAATATTCTAATTCTGGGCACATACTGAAATTGGCCAGCAACCCAATAAACCCAAGTCTTGGCAGGCATGACTATGGCCACCAGTTACATGGGTGTGCCGGCAGAATTGGCATTTTTTGAAGCTGTCTTCACTTCCTTATTTCATTTTAACATTCTACTAAATCTAATAACCCAATTTGTCTATTTTCATCTTTAGGCCATCAAGCTCCAGATAATCCTCAGAGAGGGATACCATCCTCTCAATATTCAATAGTCACCCTCTTACAGGGGACCCCTAGATGTCCATCAGGGATACATGATGGAGATAAAATTCTGCCCCTGCCTCCCTTGGACCTGGTTGGATACTGCTTTCATCAACCCATGGAGCCACTCTCCTTCCCTGACAGCTAGCGACAGGCCAACAGTCACAGAACAACCACCACTGCCCCACCATCAGCAGGAGGGATTTATGAAAAGCTGATCATCCATTCTTCCCAAAGAATTGAGGTCTTGGAATCTTGAGGGGAGAAATGCTACAGTGGGTAGCTAGTCGATCATGAGCAGGGCAGGAGAGCACTCGCCCGAACCCCTACAAAGAATGTCAGGTGACCATCAGGTGATGGTCAGGCAGCTGTTAACTGCCTCTCTAAAATAATAATTGGTTGCCGCCAGTGCCCGGGAAATTCAGTCTCCCAACAGATAGGAAAAACCTGAAACTGGTAGTCAACAGCTTCCCAATAAGATCTCAGGAGTTGCACGAGTGGGCTCAAGCATGTGCATTAAGAGGAAAAATGGTGGAGGTGAACTGGTATATGGCCTCCTAGGGACATTCAACTGGTAAGGGAAGAACGCCTCAAGTGAGCATGTGTACAGCTCCAGTAAACACACCATGCGTAGTCCCCTCCCAAGGGCTAGCAGGTAACTGCACATGCAGACAGCCCACCCCAAAGGAAGAATTAGGGGAGAAAAAAATGCAAGCCCTGGAAGTTTGTCAACATATAAAATCCCAATTCAGAAGGTCAAACCACTCACTTGTCTTTCAAATCGTGTGCTTGACCCTCTTCCAAGTGGACTTTCCTTCCTTTTGTTCTTTCTCTAAAGTTTTTAAACAAATTTTTATTCCTGTTCTAAAACTTGCATTGGTCTTTCCTATTGCCTAATGCCTCCTTGAATTCTTTCTTCTGAGGAGGCAAGAATTGAGGTTGCTGCAGACCTGTATGGATTCGCCACTGCTAACAGAACCTCCCATGTAATCCCACCTGAAGATTCTTTAAGGCAGTTTCTCAATGTCAGCACTATTGACACTTTGGCTGGGAAAATTCTTTGCGTATGTGGCTGTCTGTGCACTGAAGGATGTTTAGCAGTATCCTTGGCCCTGACCTATGAGATGCCAGTAGCATTCTCTCAATTGTGTCAGTAAAAAATGTGTCCATACATTGTCAAATATCCCCATGAGGGGAGGGGCAAAAATCATTCCAAGTTGACAATCACTGGTGTAAAGACATCAAAAGGCAGGTGATCCTTAAGCAAGGAATGGTTTTATACAGCAGTAAGGGATTGTTCTATACACATTTTTTCTCAGGACCACATGGTGTTGGTCAACTAGTAGGAAGATTTGGTTTTGGTAAATGGACTGCACTATGCTGTTTTCCAGTGTTACATGCATAGCAAGGTAGTAACACTGATGTATTAACAATGACTTGCTTTGATCATTAGACCACTGTAAATAAGGTCCAATCCTCTTCCAAGGCCCTATCAAGATTGCTAGTAGACAATAAACCTGCCCTTGTGAAAAGGGGATGGAGCAAGGCAGGCCAAAAGTTGAGGTTCCAAAGGGTCATTCTAACGGTGTGAGAGTGGAGGGTGTGAAGTTGGGTTGCTATGTCTAAATGAGTGAAGCTGTTGAATGAAAGCAGGGTGAGCCAAACTCTATTCTGAGATAAATCTGAGCCAGCATCTTCAGTCTCTGGCAGGACCCTCAAATCCATTCCAACATCTAGTTTGTAGCTCTGTACAGTCTTCCATGGAAATCATCTTCAAAATGTACAAACTGTGAAGAAAAGTGAGAAAAATGTACAAACTTTGAGAAAAGTGAGAAAATGTACAAACTTTGAGAAAAGTGAGTGAGAAAGGAGAGGAAATGGAAATGAGGAAGTGGAAAGCAAGAGTTTTTCCTGCTTCACTGAAGCCTGGGCAGGCACACAATGATAGCTATGTATCTTCCTGGTGGTGCCTACATCCCAGCTGATATGGTTTGCTCTGTGTCCCCACGCAAATCTCATCTTGTAGCTCCCATAATTCCCACGTATTGTGGGAGGGACCTGGTGGGAGATAATTTAACTGTGGGAGCAGGTATTTCCTGTGTTGTCCTTGTGATAGTAAGTCTCACGAGATCTGATGGTTTTAAAAATGGGACAAGCTCTCTCTCTTTGCCTGCTGCTATCCATGTAAGATGTGACTTGCTTCTCCTTGTCTTCTGCCATGATTGTGAGGCTTCCCTAGGCACGTGAAACTATACGTCCATTAAAGCTCTTTCTTTAGTAAATTGCCCAGTCTCAGCTATGTCTTTACCAGCAGCATGAAAATGGACTAATACAACAGCATTAAGTGAAGTGCCATGGTGCCCATTGCCTCTGTTTCCTCTCAGACTGGACCACACTGGGACTATCATGGGAGTGAATAACTAAAGCCCACGCAGGCACAGGCCCTACCTCTCACCACTATAAATAGAACGGTGGGCTCTGCCCTCTAGGATCCTTCATTCTGGTACTGATAACTCTTTTCCAGCAGTTCCTTGGAATCTCAGCCCAATTTCATTAGGTTTCTTGAAAGAGGGAAGAATAAATCCCATGCGGTTCTTTCTAGTGCAATCTAGTTTAAAAAAAAAAGATTTTTTAGTGCTCGCTTTGGCACTACATATACTAAAATTGGCAAGATACAGAGATCAGCATGGCCCTTGTAATTAAAAAAAAGGCTTTTTAGTGGGTTCAGTTATAAAGTAGATTGATCTTACTTTGTTTATCAGACCCTGAATCTGGTCCATCATCCAAAACCTGTGCACTTGCTTTCATTTAGTACTTCCTCATTCATAGTTTTTTTTCCCTCTTAACCATTTTGTCTTAAGATTTACTGCTATTACTTGTGGCTTTAAAGAGAAAAGGCATTACCTGTGTGGTTTATACAAAGTTCATGGCTATATTGGGGGTGGGGTGGGGCAATCAATAAATCTCCATCTAGGTGATTCTATTAGGTCAGGGTTTGGTCCTATAATCACTGGAGGTTCATATCCCAGCTTCGCTTACAAGCAGTGTGACCTTGAGTAAGTGAGGACTTTTTTTTTTTTTTTTTGAGATAGAGTCTCACATCCTGTCACCCAGGCTGGAGTGCAATGGTGCAATCTCAGCTCACTGCAACCTCCACCTCCTGGGTTCAACTGACTCTCCTGCCTCAGCCTCTCAAGTAGCTGGGATTACAGGCACCCACCACCATGCCCAGCTAGTTTTTGTATTTTCAGAAGAGACAGGGTTTCACCATGTTGGCCAGGCTGGCCTCGAACTCCTGACCTTGTGATCTGCCTGCCTTGGTCTCCCAAAGTGAGGACTTCTTTTATACCAATGAGGATAACAGTATCCACTTTTTGTTTTTTGAAATGAAGTCTCACTCTGTCTTGCCCAGGCTAGAGTGCAGTGGTGCCATCTCAGCTCACTGCAGCCTCTACCTCCCAAGTTCAAGTGATTCTCCTGTCTCAGCCCCCTGAGTATCTGGGACTACAGGCATGTGCCACCACACCTGGCTAATTTTATATTTTTAGTAGAGACAGGGTTTCACCATGTTGGCCAGGCTAGTCTCGAACTCGTGACCTCAGGTGATCCACCCGCCTTGGCCTCCCAATGTGCTAAGATTACAGGTGAGAGCCACTGTGCCTGGCCAGGAGTTAATGGTATCCACTTCTTGAAGTTAGGATTAAATGTGATAAAGTCTGCAAAGTACTTAGCATCGTACCTGGCACTATTATCAATAATTATGCAAATGAAGTGTCATCAGAATGCGATACTCATATTATTTCAAAGATCGGCATAGTCTTCAGCCCTAAGAACCTGGATTTCAGAATGTCCATGAGAATCACTAGGCATGAATAACAACCTAAGGAAAGGATTAAAAGGGGTACAGAAATGGAAAGATGAGTACAACATGGAGAAAAGAGAGAAGGAAAGAGAACACAAAACAGGCACAGACAGACCTTGCCACCCCAAAACAGTAATTGAACAAGGCACTGTCCACTTTATGAGCAACAGTCTCTGCCATCAAGGGACATGTCTTTTGGGTGAGAGAGTCAAATGAATAGAGCGAGATGATTATGACAGAGAGGTTACAGGTAACTGGGAGCACGGAAGAGCAGCCAACTCAACTAAGAGTAGGGTTTAGAGTTGCAGAGTAACAAGTAACAGAATGAAGTCTTGAAGAATATCTGAGAGTTAGAAGGGTAGAGTGTACGAAAACACGGAGGTAAGAGCATGGACGCAGGGACTAAAATTCTGTATGGCCGAAGGTGGAGTGTAGGGTTAAAACATGACATCTATTTGTTATTTAAAGTGTTTTAGATATTTGTTGAGGACCATCTACAGGTCAGGCAGTTTTAGGAATGGAGGATTCTGTAGAAAGACACTCAAAGTCTGCCTTCTCAGAATGTTCTTTTCTACAGAGGATATATGATAAACAAGTACAAAACGAAGGAAATGAATGATGGATGGAAGTTCTGTGATGGAAATACAACCATGGGCAAAGTGATAGAGGAGGGGTGGGTAGGAAACCCAATTTAGATGAGGTGGTCACTTAGACTTCTTTGAGAAGGTGGTATTTCAGCTGAGTCAGAAGGGTAGATGGAGCAAGCAGTGCATAGATGGCCAGGCTGGCAGGTAGAGCATTTAAAATGGTTCAAAGGTCCTCAGGCCAGGGGTGACGGGGTAAAGCAGAGACTAGCTAACATTTGCTTCATCAATCTTTTGGTGTGGGTGCCGAGGAGCATGAATAAGGTGAAAGACTGCTCCTAAGGAGATACATTAAAGGTGACACATTTGCCTACAGTAGCCTTCAACTTTGCAGACCAACAGTAGTGGGAGTCCAGTCATACGCTTCTGCATGTTAGCCAGAACCTTCTGCTATGTTCTGAATTTGGCCTAAATTGAAGGATTCAAATATCATCTCAAACAACTTTTCCTCCTACAGACAAAGGTGAAGATTCAGGAGCTCACAGCCTCAGGGGGCAAAGCACAGTTAAGAAAATCCAGGTGATAAGCGGCAGTTAACAGTGGCCCATACCAGGGACTTGCGCTCACAGAAGAGTTTTGAAGGCCTGGAATGCGTTTGAAGATGAGTTCATGAGCAGAGAGAAAGGATTCCACTAACAGCGGAGAAACACAAAGGTCATGTGTTTTTAGGAACCTCCAAGTGGTCGGTAAGGTTGGGGTCAGTATTAGTTTCTTTGCCTGTAAAATGGGGACAATAAGAATTCCTCGTCCCTTAACTATTCTCCACAGCAAGAAACCTTAAAGGTAGAGAAGAAAAGATAAATCTGTTTTCACAGTAAGTCCTTGTTAGTCACCAAAGATTGCAGGATCGCTGCAGGACACACTCATCTGTAAAGAACCAGTCTCCAAACGGGCGGAGCAAGGTGCAGCTCCACCTGCTCCACCACTAGGTGCAGAAGAATGTCTACGGCAGGGAGTTCTCAACTTGTGACCTTGGGTCTGCGGGGGTCTAGATGGACTTCAGCTGGCGCCCGTGTCGCATGTGAGTTTCCTGGGTAGTAGTAACCCCAAAAGGGCCGCGACGTCTACAGAAGTGCCACTACTTGGAATTCGCGTCCATGGCCACGTTCTCACTGCTGGGAGAAACAACAGGGTCAGGTCTAACACTCCTTTCTCAGATGCATGGGCGAACAGAAATATCCCTGGCCTTCACCTAATCGTGGCCTGAGAACACTTCCCCCGGGTAAACAGTCACCACACTGATATTCCCACAGAGCGAAGTGCCGGAGCCCGTCGCCGGCGATTGCGCATCTCGTCGCGGAGAGCATTATGGGGTTGGTAGTCCAGACTGAGGCGCAGATAGCGGTCCTCGAAGCCATAGAACCACACTTCCCAGCAAGGCCCGCGCAGCAGGGCACGCAGAGTGTGTGCGTAAGCGACCAGATTTCCGGGGAAGCCGGGGGCGGGACTTCAGCGGAGGCCGGAGCGAGGCGTCGGGATGCAGCGCCCCGGGCCCTTCAGCACCCTCTACGGGCGGGTCTTGGCCCCGCTGCCCGGGAGGGCCGGGGGCGCGGCCTCTGGCGGAGGAGGGAACAGCTGGGACCTCCCGGGTTCCCACGTGCGGCTGCCGGGGCGTGCACAGTCCGGGACCCGTGGCGGTGCTGGCAACACAAGCACCAGCTGCGGGGACTCCAGCAGCATCTGCCCGGCCCCCTCCACGATGTCCAAGGCCGAGGAGGCCAAGAAGCTGGCGGGCCGCGCGGCTGTGGAGAACCACGTGAGGGTGAGCACCTGGGGACGTGGGGCGCGGGAAGCATGTCCTCAGCGTGTTGGGCTCCTGTTGCGCTTTCTGGGTGCTGCCGAGGCGCGCCTACCTCCTGGCAGGGCGGGGGCTGAGTGAGAGGGTAGAGAGTGTGCACTTTACCCGAGTTTAGACCCCTCTTCCTTGCTCCTTAAAGACCTTTTAGATGTGGAATCGGTTGGGGGCGAATCTTCTAATATTTGAGCTTTCGAAAGACTCGTCTAGCTGGAACAGTTTGCAAAGTGGAGCCTGGTGTTGTCTCATGTTTGGAATGGGGGCTAGAGGCACTTGCCTTGTGGTCTCCTTATCAATAAATGGAAAATGGTGGGCTTTGGGACTGCGGAGAGGTTTTCATTTCTCGTTACTGACCCGGAAGCCGGCGGAGAGTTGGTTTGCTAGTGCTTTGAAATTTCAGTCGAAGGTGGTTCTGGGCTTGGTGCGCGCCGGCCCCTGAGTGAACTCCTGGAGGGAAGGGAAGACCCGGGACTTCAAACTTCCTTCTTTCCATAGGGCGGGGTGGACTAAGTCTGGAGGATGCTGGTTTATATTTTAAGGCGGGGCTGCAGAGATGTTTAGCTGTTATTCAGTCAGGTCGTGGTCCCTACTTGTTTGTTAAGTGGCATGGTGCTGTTAGTGGAGTTTTTTTTTTTTAAATCCAGGTGGTTTTGCTGTCAGCAATCAAGTTAATTATCTTATTTGTAATAAGGAAGCCAAGTGGAGTATGTCTGCCCTGTGGTGTAGTTTCCTTGGTCTTACTGGTTTTTTATTTCTCATTTCTACTTATTAGAAAGTGGTATTAGAGTCTCTTTTCTTCTCCGATAATAGTTCTTTACATTTGTTAATGCTTCACTCAACAAAATTATTTTGCTTAGATGATGTTTGATGAGCTTCACCACAGCGTGTTTGAGTGGGAGTGGACAGTGTGGTAACCTGTGGCTCAGCCAGTTCTGTGGGAGGGATGTTCCAGTGTTCCCTTCTACCCTTTCCACTGCTACCCTGTTCTGGTGTAGCCTGTTGCAAGTCTGATTCACAATAGGATTTTCTATGGGGATTAACAGAGATAATGTAAAATGTGTTAATTTGACCCTACCGTTGGGATTCAGTGCCTCAGTTGTAAAAGTGAGACAATAAGCTGAAATTTCAAAATGTCTGCATAAAGTGAATAGCTAATAGTTAAATGTAATCCGCATGAGAATACAATTAGAAAAGCACCGTATCTAAGTTGTTCAGTTAATGAATTTATGTTAATATTTGGTGGCACATCTCCCTGACCTTTGTGTTATAGTTATGTATTTGATTAAATAAAAATCTGTAAGCCTTGACCTTAGGCTAGAGCCCCAAAACACTGGATTCTGACCACATTTCATGAAGTTAGGCGATTTTGGGGAGATCTACAGTGACCTTTTGGGGGCACCTGTTAAAGTCATATATGCCCTTCAGGGTTTGGCTTAAAGTCCATTTCCTCCTTTCAGTTTTTCCTTAGCGTCCTAAGGAGAGGAAGAATTCTTTTCCGCGATTCTGTAGCACTTCACGCCTCTTATGTGCTTTATGTTGTATCTTATGTTTTGGTCATCTGTGTGTTCATTTCTTCCAGCCCCTTAAAGGGTAAGCTCCTGGAGGGCAGTTAACTTTCATTTAGCATTGGTCACAGTGGGGCCTGCCCAGTACATGTATGTTCAATTGTGTGCAGTGTGGACACAAATATGAAAGTGTTGGGGTTATTGGAGGTTCTTTGTGTAGAATCTCTGGCGTGTAGGGCTTCCTGTTCCCTAGTCCATTGGAGTTCCAATATGTTGACCACTTCCATGTCTGGGTGGATGGAAAACATGGAGAGTTCTCAGGTGAATCCTTTGTATAGCCACCCTGGGCCCAGCTCTGTCTGTTTCTGGGGGTGTAGCTACCCAGGATGGGCCGCCATTCAGAACTAGGCTCTTCTGAACGTCTGTAGCCTCATCCCTTTGTTCTCTTTGGAGCCTAGGCTTTGTTTTTTGACTGGCTTGGTTGAGGAAGCTGATGGGCGGTGGTTCTAGTTGGTTAGCAGAAGTAGTATTTCCAGAGTTACTCCATTTGACAAGCTGAGGGAAGTTCTGATGTTGCACATACGTGTGGTTTAATATTGCCCATTAGAATGGGGCCACTCCTCTAGCAGGGCCTGCTTGGCAGTCTTCTGCTGTTGGGCCACCTCATAGGCAGCCTTTGGTCACCTCTGGTTGGCTTTGGCAAGGACACTGATTCCTGGGCCAGTCATTTGATTCCAAGGCAGCAGGGATCACATGGTTGAAGAGCTTTAGGCCTGGCAGGGCCTTGCAATTCCTGGTCTCTTCCAAAAGGCAAAGAAGGAACCTTACACAGAGCTTGTCTGATTCATCCGAATTCACCTCTGTGCCACCTGCCTGCTGGGGACTGTGAGTGACATGAATGTATGGCTAAGCTTGGTAACCAGGAATCTAGTGATTGAATGACTGTAAAGCTAGAGTTCCTAGCTTCAGGTCAAGTGTGAAGGTCAGGCTAAGTCTATCTAGTGTGATATTTTAAACACACACACATACACACAATGTTTTTATCCATGGCTCCTGGTTCATAACACTCATAACTCTTGCTACAGTCTTTTGTTATATTTGGGGTGCTTTAGGGCCCAGAGCAGGCCTCAGAAAACAGAATCTTCCTCTCTTACCTTCTGCCCTCCTTCCGCTTGCTCCTTTCTCTCCCCAATGCTTTTCTGTCTTGGAGCTGGCCATAAAGAAATTCTGTGACCTATGTTGTCTGATTGTAGGTCATTAAGATCCCCATTTCAGAAGGGTTCCTCTTCCATAGCCTGGAGGAAGGAATGCTGCAGGTGAAGAATCTGAACAGACAGCCCTTGCAGGGTTTCCCCAGTCTGTCTGCTAGTATTGGATCATGCCATTTTTGTCCAGTCACATTTCTAAGCCCTTGTAATTCCTGGTCTTTTCCAAGATCCAATCATATCTATTCGATAAAGTCTCAAAAAAAAAAAAAAAACTCAAGAGGACAGGGTTTGGAAGCTTCTGGAGAGCAGAACATATGAAGGTCCCTGGAGGATGGTGTGCCTAGAGAGAGCATGGAAGCTCTGTGCTCCTTCTTACATGCCTTTACCTATGCATCTCTTCATCCGTATCCTTCATCATAGCCTTTATAATAAATTGGTAAACATGTTTCCCTGAGTTCTGTGAGCCACTCTAGCAAGTTAATCAAACCCAAAGAGAGGGTTGTGGGAACTCCAACTTGAAGCTGGCAGGTCAGAAGTTCTGGAGGCCTGAACTTGCATTTGGTAGGAAGGAGGAGGCAGTCTTGGGAGTTGAGCCCTCAACCAGTGGAACCTTATGGTATCTCCAAGTAGAGAGTGTTGAAATTGATTTGGAGGATACCCAGCTGGTGTCTGCTGTAGAGTAGATTGCTTGCTTGGGATATGGGGAGAAATCCCCATACATTTGGTTACAGAAGTCTTCTGTGTTGATAATTGTTGTGGTGTGAGAGCAGAGGAAAAAGTTTGAGTTTTTCCACACTCAGACATAGGACATTTTCTCATTGCTTGAAGATTTTTATATGTGAGATATTTAGCCATTTTGAATGTTTCTGTGCTGTGATGTGTCATTTACTTGTCTTGAAGTCCTTGCCTTTGGAGATAATAAACAACTGTATTAGACACATTGCCTTCTTGAGAGCATTGGCACAGGTGGAATCCTGACCTAGTGCGAACCGTGTTCTGATAACCCAAGCCCCTGATGTATTCAGTGACTTTGGAACTGTGAGCTAGTAAAAGCAGTTTCCACCAGGTCAGTAACACAAAAGTTGTTGGGTAAAGTCTTCTGTAGGTAGGAGAGGCTATAGAAGCATTTTTAGTGTACATGTATGTGGTTGTGGGGACATTAGTATTTGATTTTTTTTTTTTGGTAACTCTATTTGTTGGTCATTCTTACTAATCTTTTCTAGTTATAGATGTAGTCTAACTGTGAGAAGGACCATATCTAACGTGAGGCCTATGGGCTGACTTTAAGTATTCCTATGTGGCCTTTGTCCTGTGGGGAATGAAGGAATTTAGTTGTGGCCTTGTTTGTCCTGAAGGCCCTTCAGGACTTTTCTTCTTCCTAAAAAGAAGGTTTTAGTATGGGCTTTCCTTTGTCAGATAAATTAATTGTTAATCAGTTGTTGGAAATCTTAAGAAATTTGAAGTAGATTGATGTTTCAGCAAATTGAACTTCCGGAAGTTGCTTATTCGATTGAAATGGCTCATCCTGTAATCCCAGCACTTTGGGAGGCAGAGTTGAGAGAATCACTTGAGGCCAGGAGTTCGAGACTAGCCTGGTTGACAGTGAGACTGTGTCTCTTAAAATAATTTAAAAATTAACTGGGCGTGGTGGCATGTTCCTGTAGTACTAGCTAGGTGGGAAGCTGAGGCAGTAGGGTTGTATGAGCCCAGGAGTTTGAGGATGAGTTTGTATATATGTGTGTGTGTCGGGAGGGGGCATTGATATTATTTATATGTATTGTAAATATATGTACAAGATCTATATCTTGTATGTATATTTAAAACAGGTAAAATCACACATACATAAAATCAATATATGTCAAAGATTTTATTTAACTCACTAAATTAGGGAACTGGAAAAGTTATTAGAACCTGTTCATAGGTGTCTTAGTCCATTTTGTGCTGCTATAATAGAAGACCTGAGACTGAGTAATTTATAATGAACAAAAATGTTTTGGCTTATACTTCTGAAGGCTACGAAGTCCAGTATCAAGGTGCTGGCATCTGGTGAGAGAGAACAGATGTTGCGGTGCTATGGGTGGGCACCAATCCCACCCATGAGGGTGGAGCCCTCTGACCCAATCACCTCGTAAAGGTCCCACTTCTTAATATTGTTATAATGGCAGTTAACTTTCAACATGAGTTTTGGTGGAGATGTTCAAAGCAAACAGGAGAAGTCAACCATAAGCTCATATGTAGTAAAAAAAAATCTTAAAATGAGTTTAGAAGATCTGTTAATAATTGTATCTCATAGAACACTATTAATTTGCTTTTCTATGAACAAAAATTACTTGCTTTGTTAACAGTTTTCTGCAAGTTAAAGTGTATCTCTACAGAGTCGTCATATATCTTAAAGACAAAGGCACATACCTTCTTCAAGTCAGACAATACAATCAGGTTCCAGCATCCCATTGGAAGGATATCCAGTAGTCTCTTTTGCTCATTTCAAAGTCTGAAGTTTTTCCTTACAATATTGAACTCATCTATAAAGTGTTAATAGTGGGTCTCTGGGTCATAAGTGATTGTTGTGAGATTTGACTTTATATTAACATTTATAAGCCTTCTTGGTAGGTGCTTACTACATGGTAGCTGCCGCTTTGGTGTTCAGTTGACTTTGCCTTGCACTGGCAGGAGATAGATGTCAGGAAGTTGCTGAGGCACTGAACTCCATATTAGTTCCTGACTGTTAGTACCCTGGCCTCGTTTTGCTCTTTGTGGTCTAGTAGACTCAGCTGAGCTTTTACTCTGTCTTTGGTCTGTTTGTAGGTACCTTCTTTGTTTCTTAAGGTGGTAGGCTCGGTATTGTGATGTCTGCTTGTACTTTGTACTCAGGAAGTGCTCTGCTCTATTACGATCCTTCCTATTGCAGATGAAGACTATTTTTCATGTTCTTAACTGAGGCTTTGCCCTCTTCCCATTCTCTCTGAGGCAGGCTCATGCAAAATGAGCACCCCGTGGCGTCACCTAGGCAGATGCTGACATACTTTATTATTTTGAGGTTACTTCAGGCCCTCCCTTTGTCTGCTGACTTTGGGAGAGCTCTAGATGGTGGGCCTGATGTGTCTTGTGGTGCTACCAACTTGAAGGTGCCTGTGGAAGACACTGAAGCCAGAAGCCTTAGCTTTCTTCCTTTACCCAGGCTCCAGGCTCTATTTTATTTTATTTTATTTTTTGAAGTGTTTTTCTGATTACCTCCTTGGGGTTGGCCAGGAATCCTTTTCTTTCTTCTTCTTCTTTCTTTTTTTTTTTTTAAACACACTGTTGCTGGCTTGAAATGTTGGGAATCTTTAAGTGTTTATATGCAGGCCATTTCTGTGAGGGTGACGCAAGTTGCTATTCAGTTGCAAGTAATTGCACCAATTATTTGGTAGAATGGAGGGAGGAAGTGGTGGTGTTGACAGTGTCAGAAACAAAGGAGGAGAGCGTTGTTGAACATTTGTCCACCATGCGTTGGTTAAAGTACAGCATTGAGGTTCAGTGTTTATGTTCCTATAAAATAGGCACGGTACCTGTCTTGCACCTGTGTTGGTGAATTGCTGTTCATAATAATTTTATAGCTTTAGGAAGTGGGCTGACAAAGGAGTAAAATATGGTATTAATAAGTTTTGTTTTTTCTTCCCCCGTTTTGGCAGAATAACCAAGTGCTGGGAATTGGAAGCGGTTCGACAATTGTCCACGCTGTGCAGCGAATAGGTATGCTCTCTCACTGTCTACTAGATGCTTCGTGGGTGATGATGGGGTAGGGAGGTAGAGGAGAGGGAGGAAGTGGTGCACAGGTTTGGCATTACCCTTTTGGCTTCAGCAGTACAGAGCTGAAGAGAGGGACTACCTGAGGTCAGCTGTTTCTGCTCTTTTGTGGACAGAGGGAATCTTGGGCCTCTTCATCCAACTTTGAAGGGTGTCCTTACCTTTGTTTACTCTACTCAGCTGGAGGGGAGGAGCTGCCTTAGCTCGAGGTCCCAATATAACTTTAATCATGTCAATGGCATTCTACCATTGAGTTCTTTGCGTGATCTCAGACTTCCTCAGGCAGATAATTGAGGCCACAGTGGGTTTGTCCTGTCCGTGACCCTGGAGTGGATGTGGGGCTCCTGCCATTGATGGCTGGTTCCCGCAGGTGCTCATTTCACACTGATTAAGGTGTCTCTATGCTTAGGAAAGGCTCAGGAATTATCAGCCCCTGTGGCTGCTCGACAGGTTTTACTGCCCTGCTCTTTGTTTGTAAGAACAAAGCCCAGAGGAGAGGCCTGCCTGAACGCCGAATTCTTCTAGGTGCCAAGGGGCAGAGCCCAGCAGGGAAAGTCCCGGAACACTTTGTTTTGAAGGAGTGGTTGTAGTGCTGGTGTGATGGCTTCTGGAAGCCTTCTCATTGGCCAGATAGGAGCTTTTGTGTTGTATACCTTTCACCCTTAACCAAGTATCCGGAGAATACTTTCAGGGCACAGGGGTTACTATGGATTTTGTAATAGTGGCACCCAAACCTCCCAAGATGCACTCAGTGATTAAAAAGGCTTGAAATTTTAATAAGAGGTTTTTCCTGAAGTTTTTTTTTTTTTTTTTTTTTTGAGACGGAGTCTTGCTCTGTGCCCCAGGCTGGAGTGCAGTGGCGCGATCTCGGCTCACTGCAAGCTCCGCCCCCCCGGGTTCACGCCATTCTCCTGCCTCAGCCTCCCAAGTAGCTGGGACTACAGGCGCCCACCACCTCGCCCGGCTAATTTTCTTGTATTTTTAGTAGAGACGGGGTTTCACCGTGTTAGCCAGGATGGTCTCGATCTCCTGACCTCGTGATCCGCCCGTCTCGGCCTCCCAAAGTGCTGGGATTACAGGCTTGAGCCACCGCGCCCGGCCTTTTTTTTTTTTTTTTTTTTTTTTTTTTTTTTTAAACAAAACTTTCCTGAAAGGTACAAATCCAAATTGAAAAAATAAATCTCCTTTAGCCACTCTCTGGGGCCTACAAATAAGTATCTTTTTTACTAAAATGCAAAAGTAAAGTTCTGGCATTTTCCTAGAAGAGGCAATATAGGGGAGTTAAGACTGTGTGGCTAGACGGCCTGGGATCTTATCCCAGCTGTGCCCCTTATTAGCGGTATAACTACCAAATTACATTACCTCTCTGAACCTCAGTTGCCTTATCTGCAAAATGGGGAAAATAGTTTAACCTTTTGGGTTGTTAGGATTAAGAATTCATATATACAAAGTTCTTAGAATGTTGTCAGGCATGTAACAATAGCAAACACTGACTCTGCTTTCTGTGGTCAGTGCTTACCTCTCCAGGCTTTCTTGCGTCGCTGTCTTCTGGTGTGTGAAGTACAGTCACTAGCTTTCCCACCAAGGAGGGGGACACAGGGTGAAAGGCAGCTGTCCTTGGGAAATAGATCTTCCCTTGTCTGTTGGATTTGAGCAAACACATATGACAAGGAAAATAAAGTGAGGAGAGTGAAAAACTGCCAATATGGCTTTTGTTTCCACAGCTGAAAGGGTGAAGCAAGAGAATCTGAACCTCGTCTGTATTCCCACCTCCTTCCAGGTATGTCCTACTTTCCATCTGCATCGTGACAGCTTCTGCTGTATCTTCTGGTTCCCCGAGGTTGTGGACACATGACCTTGTCTTGTACCTCAAGGTTGTTCTAGGTCAGAGAGTCCAGGAATAGGAGAGTTTATTGACCAAGGATTCCTTCTTGGAATTGTAGTTTTAGGTGCATTTGTTTATTTACTCGGAGAATGTTTCAGTGCATGTTGAGTTTAGGCACTACGGAGTATGCAGAGATGGCCAGGTAGTCTCTCTCCTCAAGGAATATTATTCCTGTTTATAGGTGAAAATCAGGCTAGGCCAGGTGTGGTGGCTCATGCCTGTAATCCCAAGTACTTTGGGAGGCCAAGGTAGGCAGATCCCTTGAGCCCAGGAGTTCAAGACCAGCCTGGGCGATATGGTGAAAGCCTGCCTCTACAAAAAATACAAAAATTATCTGGGTGTGGCGGCTTGTACCTGTAGTTCCAACTAGGTGGGAGGCTGAGGCGGGAGATCTCCCTCGAGCCCAGGGAGGTCCAGGCTGCAGTGAGGTGTGATTGTGCCAGTGCACTCCAGCCTTGGCGACAGAGTTGAGACCCTGTCTCAAGAAGAAAAAAAAGAATCAGGCTAAAAGGAATTAAGCAATGTGTTAGTAATACAAGTACATCATAAATTAGTAGGAGCTGATGGAGGAAAGCAGTGGAGCCAGTTAAATATAGGGAGAGATAAGGAAAGAGCAGGTTTTGGAAGTAGAAGGGAAGACAGTTGCTCAGATGGAGCCAACTCTTATCCCTCATCTGGCCATTGCAGGGAGGAGTATGTGTATAATCTCTCATTGGATTAGTCAAGGTGATACTATGCACTGGGGTAGGAGGTGAGATTTATGAGTGACTGATGCTTCCGGGACTTTATGGGCTTAGACTTGGACAGCTGGGTTTCTTAGGAAACCCTCTCAATCCTGGAGGCACAGAATGCTGGTAGCCTGCAGCCAGCTTTGGTGAAGGGAGAGAGGTTAAGGTTCCTTCTAAACCAGACTGGCCTCAGCTTAACAGTAGGGAGCAAGGCAGAGATTCCAGGTAGACAGGTTAGAGAGTTGGATAGTGCCTACGGTTGGAGCTTCCTTGATGTTAAATCTCTCGGAGACCTTAAACAAGGTGAATGGCCACCCAGGGGACTGAAGGCAATACCTTAAGTGTTTTATATTGCTTTTTTTTTTTTTTTTTTTTTAAATTCTGCTGTCTTGAGGAGACACTTTTATTTTATTTTATTTTTTTTTAAATTTATTTATTATTATTATACTTTAAGTTGTAGGGTACAAGTGCATAACGTGCAGGTTTGTTACATATGTATACTTGTGCCATGTTGCTGTGCTGCACCCATCAACTCAAGGAGACACTTTTAAAGCCTCAGTGGCTTGTGGTGGATTTTTTTTAATCTTTTGGAAAGCTAATTATCTAATTTTTCCAACTGACTTGATCATCAAGTACTTTTATTTCTTAGTTAATAAATTACATTAGTGTTTATTTTTAAAGTCATATATGCATGTGCATGGAAGAAACAAATAATTCAAGTCTTTTTACTTAAGAGAGATAAAAGCACACTCCCCTCACCTTCCCTGAGATGACCACTACCCAGAAAGCACACTCTTCTCACCTCCCCACCCCTCACCTCCACTATTTCTTGCTCTTTACATGGACATACTTTTAGCTCTTTTAGGTGATTGGATTTTTGCCCCAGTATTTTGAAACTACATGCTTTTCTTGATCTTTTTAAATTTTTCTCAACTAGGTTGACCCAAAAGGTTAAAATAACAGCCACTATGGATTTAAGTCAAAGTTAATTTTATTCTGAGCCAAGTTTGAGGACTGTTGACCAGGGACACAGACTCAGAGCAAACTGGGAGCATGTCCCTTTCTGCTGTAATTCAGTAGGTCAGAATTAGAGGAAAGAGTATGTTGGATAAAACAGACAATAGAAGACCACCTTACATACATTCTGTGGCTGTAGTTCAGATTGATGAGCTAACATAATTTTGGCTGGAGTTTTATTCTTTTGGTAACATTTTTGCAGTATTTATAGTATTTGTAACATAGGAATATTAGAAAGACATTTTCCTGTCTTCTGAGCCATCCAAACTGTTCCAACCTCTGCCTGTTACCCAGTTGCAAAGTCACTTCCATATTTTCAGGTATCTTCTCAGCAGCACCCCACTCTGCTGGTACCAATTTATTAGTCCATTTTCACAATGGTGATAAATACATACATGAGACTGGGCAATTTACAAAAGAAAGAGGTTTAATTGGACTTGCAGTTCCATGTGACTGGGGAAGCCTCACATCATGGTGGAAGGCAGGGAGGGGCAAGTCCCATTCTACATGGATGGCAGCAGGCAGAGAGAGAATGAGGAAGACCCAAGAGCAGAAACCCCTGGTAAAACCATCAGATCTCATGAGACTTACTACCACGAGAGCAGTATGGAGGAAACAGCCCTCATGATTTAATTATCTCCCACCAGGTCCCTCCCACAACACATGGGAATTATGGGAGTGCAATTTGAGATGAGATTTGGGTGGGGATACAGAGCCAAACCATGTCACCTGTATACCATATATTATTTGGAGCAGGGTATAGAAATTAAGGGTCATCTCTCTCACCACTCCTGTTCAACATAGTATTGGAAGCTCTGGCCAGGGCCATCAGGCAAGAGAAAGAAAGGGTATTCACATAGGAAGAGAGGAAGTCAAACTGTCTCTGTTTGTAGATGACATGATTCTGTATCTAGAAAACCCCATCGTCTCAGCTGAAAAGCTCCTTAAGCTGATGAGCAACTTTAGCAAAGTCTCAGGATACAAAATCAGTATGCAAAAATCATAAGCATTCCTATACACCAACAATAGACATCAACAGAGAGCCAAATAATGAATGAACTGTCATTCACAGTTGCTATGAAGAGAATAAAATACCTAGAAATACAGCTAACAAGGGAAGTGAAGACCTCTTCAAGGAGGACTACAAACCACTGCCCAAGGAAATGAGGGAACACAAATGGGAAAACGTTGCATGCTAATGGATAGGAAGAATCAGTATCATGAAAATGGCCATACTGCCCAAAGTAATTTATAAATTCAATGCTATTTCCCATTAAACTACCATTGACATTCATCACATAATTAGAAAAAACTACTCTAAAATTCATATGGAACCAAAAAAGAACCTGTATAGCCAAGACAATTCTAACCAAAAAGAACAAAGCTGGAGGCATCATGCTACTGGACTTCAAACTATAGTAACAAAATCAATAACCGAAACAGCATGGTACTGGTACAACAGACACATAGACCAATGGAACAGAATAGAGATCTCAGAAATAAGACTGCACATCTACAACCATCTGATTTTTGGCAAACCTGACAAAAGCAATGGGGAACAAATTCCTTATTTCATAAATGGTGCCAGGAGAACTGGCTAACCATATGCAGAAATTGAAACTACCTTTTCCTTACACCTTATATGAAAATTAACTCAAGATGGATTAAAGACTTAAATGTAAAACCCTAGAAAATGAAAAACACTATAAAAACCCTAGAAGAAAATACCATTCAGGACATAGGCACTGGCAAACATTTCATGACAACAACATCAAAATCAATTGCAACAAAGGCCAATATTGACAAATGGGATCTAATTAAACTAAAGAGCTCCTGCACAGCAAAAGAAACTATCATTAGAGTGAACACACAGCCTACAGAATGGGAGAAGATTTTTGCAATCTATTCATCTGACAAAGTTCTAATATCTAGAATCTACAAGGAACTTAAACAAATTTATAAGAAAAAAAACGAACAATCCCATTAAAAAATGGGCAAAGGACATGAACAGACACTTCTCAAAAGAAGACATTTATGTGGCCAGCAAACATGAAAAAAAGCTCAACATCACTAATCATTAGAGACATGCAAATCAAAAGCACAATGAGATACCATCTCATGCTGGTCAGAATGGCAATTATTAATAAGTCAAGAAATGACAGATGCTGATGAGGCTGTAGAGGCAGGAATGCTTTTATGTTGTTGGTGGGAATGTAAATTAGTTCAACCATTGTGGAAGATGGTGTGGCGATTCCTCAGAGACCTAGAGCCAGAAATATCATTTGAATCAGCAATCCCATTACTGAGTATATACCCAAAAGAATATAAATGATTCTGTTCTAAAGATACATACACATGTATGTTCATTGCAGCACTATTCATAATGTCAAAGACATAGAATCAACCCAAATGCTGCCAATGATAGACTGGATAAAGAAAATATGGTACATATACACCATAGAATATTGTGTAGCCGTAAAAAGGAATGCGATCATGTCCTCTGCAGGGACATGGGTAGAGCTGGAAGCCAATATCCTCAGCAAACTAACATAGGAACAGAAAACCAAACACCACATGTTCTCACTTATAAGTTGGAGCTGAACAGTGAGAACACATGGATGCAGGGAGGGGAACAACACATACTGGGGCCTGTGTGGGGAGTGCAGGGGGAAGGAGAGCATCAGGATAAATAGCGAATACATGCAGGGCTTAATACCTAGGTTATGGATTGATAGATGCAGCAGACCACCATGGCACACATTTACCTATGTAAAAAACCTGCACATCCTGCACATGTATCCTGGAACTTTAAATTAAATTTAAAAATAAAGAAATTAAGGATCATATTTATATGATTTCAGGATTCCAAACATTTTGGGGACAGCACAAACTTCCTGAATTTGTTTACAGTGTAGAACTGAAACTGAACTCTTAAGTACTATTATTTAATATGGCCTATCAGCTCCCCATTGGGAAAATATGAGTATTATTTTAAAAAAATCTCTATTCCTACTAACACTATGTTATATGTCTAGTTATTATCCATGTGGGGTGCTAATGCTGTAAGAGTACAGTGAATTAAGCTACATATCCTTGGTAGTAATTTTCCAGGAGGAAGAGGGTTCATAGTGTTTGTGCATAAATGTATAC